GGACACGCCACTCAGCTAAGACACAATGTGCATTGTGAGAACAGCACATCGGTGTTGTGGAGAAATAACACCGCCGTACCACTGACTTGAAAGCGATAGCTAAGTTGCACCTAAATGGCAATATTGACCTCCTCTGCACGCAAGACACATATTGGACCTGTTTATTTCAGCTTAATTTCTATTGAACATGTAAGTCAAGCAAATCACAGGTGAACCAGACTTTGAGAAGAAAAAAGCACTGTGCTGATAGCCCGGGCAAAACGGCAAACGTTTGATAGAACAGTCCATTTCAACATCGGAAAATACTGAAGAACAACAGAGAGGAAATTAGACTCATTCTATTAAGAACACCGTAGAGAGAGGCAGGGAAAGGACCTGGTAAATCAAACATTCAGTTTGCCCAAAGAGGCTGGTAGGTCAGTACACTGATTGACATTTAGCTGAATAACAGCAAGGCCAGTTTCTCTGGCTGCTCTGTAAACACACGGATTTATAAGGCGCAAAGCTCAAGAGTCCCAAACCAAAGAGCTCATAGGATGTAGATCATCAGAGGATCATCCTGGAACCAATGCACTGGGCTTTTATGATAAGTGTGGAATGATTAATTGCGAAATGGATTAACCTAATTCCCCCCCCCCCAATTACGGAACTGTGAATTTGTCGTTTCCTTGGACATAGAAAATAATTAACCATATTGTTCGTCCGTAATAAAGCTATTTGGCTGGTTTCGAACATAAAAGATTCATCGCTAAGACTTGTCAGCCATGCTGAACGTGACATCAGTGGTGGAAGCTATGAGCTGAAAAACCCTGTCAGAACACGTGAGACATGAAAGTGTGTTTAAGTGCAGTTTTCAAATGGAAAAACCAGACCCACAAGTACACAAAACTACCATCACGGAACAACAACACTTGAGGGATACAGCTGGCTCTGAGGTGATGGAGGAGGTGTGGTGGTGGTTGTGTGTCGGCGTTTGCGTGTGTGTGTGCGCGCGTGAGGTAATCATCGCATGTCTCCTAGCCTAAAATCTGGTTAGCAGCTCAGGCAATGCGGTAGTCGAACGTGTCTTTTTCCATATAGTCTGTCCATGTGGAACTCGGCATGCTGCTGTACGGATCCAAAAGGATTCGGAAGCAGCGCACGATAAGCAGCCCCAGAAAGATGAAGAGTAGGAGGACGAAGACGAAGGCAGCCTTCTGTTCCAGTGTGAGGAAAGGGATGGGGTGTGGGGCCCCAGACGCAGACAGCGTGCTGCCGTGGAGATGCTCGGCCATCCTCTCCAGTTTGTCGGCACGGGTCAGGGGCACGTGGCCATTTTCACGATCAACAGGTTTTTGTTTAGAGCCATTCTGGAAACACACGAGATGATTAGAAAAAAATCACCAGAGAACAAGTAGATTTTAAATGCATTTTAACCCGCAATATCATCAATATCACATCACCAAACAACATTTTTGAGGATTCACTACAACAACAACAACAACTTCACTGCCAGTGTGGCGCAGGCCTCACGTTTAAAGGCACACACCACAATGTTATATAAGATTACTGTGTACATGTTTTACAGCATTAAATCCATCAGTGAAATGATTCATGGTGCGGAGGACAGTAAGTAGCCTTGAGTGAATTATCTCTCTCATCTTAAGGCGATCAAATCCATTTCCGACTGGTTTTTCATGCCCCCTGATACATTCTCTCAAAGTGCCGGTTTCTGTGATAGTCTCTGACCCTTTAATGGTTCGGTTCTTTGATGCCAGCGCTCACGATCAGCCTTGGCACTCCCTAAACACTGCGAAGTCGCACGCACGAGATGCCAACGTGTTGCTCGAAATCCAGTCGCATGAGTATTGGGTACCTGGGGTTTGGCTTACAGAAACGAGGAGCACGACACTAACATCTCTCCATTTGTGATTTTATTTATCAAATGTCCGTGTAAATATCCAACCGAGCCCTCCTAGATTCGGCCAAATTGCATTGTCGCCGCTCTGACAGTTGAAGCGGGGATGTCTGTGAACATACACAGGGCTGCGAATGCAGTGAAAGCATTAGTTTCTCACCTGTTGTTACGGAGGAGGATTCATCAGTGGGAGGGTGATGGAGATCCAAAATAAGCAGGGAGAGAGACAGCTTCCATCACGGCTGTCCGCCCAGAGACAGATGGTTGTCAGAACTTTTTCAACCCAGCTCGTCGATTTGTTCAGCAATCCAAATAAAATCAGCGGCTCTCTGCTTCCATTCCTCTCCTCTGTGGTCCAGCTCCCTCTTTCCCTCACCAAGATGAGCATGTAGTGGTGTCACATCACCCATAGCAACCAGTTGCCATAGCAATCCCTCCAAGTGTGTTCAGTAAAGCCGAGCTGGTGAGAGACAAGTGTGATCCAGCCAAAGCGCAGTGTAAACGTGTGTTTCTGTAAAGGCGGAGGATTTAATACAGACCCACTGATGTGTGATAACAACAGCGGCTAAAAATAGTGGCCTCTTTTAACTTTGCAGGATTAACATGTTTTAATACGGTGTCTACTACAAGCTGCTCATGAATGTCAGCCAATCAGCTTAAATGGAGAATTGTCATGCTTTCAGGCATGCTGCTGTCATCTGATACGTCTGAAACAGCAGTGTATGCATCCAGTCTCAGTATCTTCAGCGCTGCCATTGCAAACACAGTCTGTACGTGCAGTTCTAGAAATGTAGGTGTATATGCTGGATATATTTAAACATAACTGACAGATCAGCTGACTGACTGATTTATATATTTCTGGTGTGATTGATGGCCATGGAGAAATAATGGTGAATTCTGGATAATATTCAGATATAATATGTATATAATATAATATATATATAGTTAGGAAAGGTTAAGGAATTACAGCTCTTTAATATGTTCCACTCCCCCTTTTCAAGGGACCATAAGTAATTGGACAATTGACTCAAAAGTCATTTCATGGACAGATGCTATTCCTTCATTATTTCTACATCAATTAAGCAGGTAAAAGGTCTGGAGTTGATTCTAAGTGTGCCATTTGCATTTGGAAGCTGTTGCTGTAAACCCACATCATGCAGTCAAAGCAAGCTCATGCAAATGAAAACACAATTGTTAGGCTTCAAAAACAAAACAAATCCATCAGATTCTAAGTGTGCCATTTGCGGACCATAAGTAATTGGACAAACCCACATCATGCAGTCAAAGCAAGCTCATGCAAATGAAAACACAATTGTTAGGCTTCAAAAACAAAACAAATCCATCAGAGAGATAGCAGGAACATTAGGAGTGGCCAAATCAATAGTTTGGGACATTCTGAAAAAACAAAACAAAAAGAATGCACTGGTGTGCTCAGCAACATAAAAAGGCCTGGACATCCACAGAGGACAACAGTGGTGGATGATCGGAGGGTCCTCTCCATGGTAAAGAAAAACCCTTTCACAACATCCAGCCAAGAGAAGAACACTCTCCAGCAGGTAGGAGTGTCACTTAAAGTCTACAATCAAGAGAAGACTTCCTGAGAACAAATACAGAGGGTTCACCACAAGGTGCAGGATTAAGGATTAGACTTTGCCAAAAACATCTAAAAAAAAATTTATACAGCTGAAATTAAGATCAAACTGTACCAGAATGACAGGAAGAAAAAAAAAGTATGGAGAAGGCTTGATCCAAAGCATACAACATCATCTGTGAAACATGGTGGAGCGGTGTGATGGCATGAGCATGCATGGCTTCCAGTGGCACTGGGTTACTGGTATTTAGTGATGATGTGACGGAAGCTGCCGGATGAATTCCGAAGTGTATAGGGATATACTGTCTGCCCAGATTCAGTCAAATGGAGCAAAGTTGATTGGGCGGCGCTTCATAGTACAAATGGACAATGACCCAAAACATACAGCAAAAGCTACCCTGGAGTTTTTGAAGGTAAAATAGTGGAATTGTATGGGTCAAAATTATCGATTTTTCTTTTATGCTTCAAGACCTGCAAATCCAAAAAAACTATGTGCAAGTGCACCTAGGTCAAGCTGCTTTAAATGCAAACGATGGTCACACCAAATGTTGATTTACTTTAGTTATTAGAAGTGAATTGACAAAGAAAATCTATTTATGGCATTATTTTTGACAGCATCCTCATTTTACAGCATTTTTACACAAGTGCCTAAAACTTTTAACCAGGGGCGTAGCCATCATTTCAGAAGTGAGGGGGACAGAAATGTTATAT